CGCCCAAGGCGCAGAACAATCGAAAGGCAGCTTAGCACGGGCACTGGCGGTCCCCCATTGGAGAACCGTGGCCACCTAGCGATCGTGCCCGGTGCAGCGGACTCGTGCGCAGGCTTACCGGACGAATTGAACGTCATTTCAGTGCGTTGTCGGGGGCGTGCCTATCTATCATGGTACCATTCGACCTACCCAGGGCAGTCGGGGCCGCGAACTGTCCAGAAATCTGTGCGCACAGAGCAGACCCAAGGTCAAAGTAGGCCTCCCGTTCTCCACACAACGCGGGTTTCTAACCATACTGAACTGTACCTGAATTAGGTCATCCATGGGCCGCGCCGCAACGACGTCTAGAATGACTGTCCGCGGGGAAGTGCACCCCGCTCGTCCGCTTCCAAAACGCGCGCGGGAAGTCGTCGGGACAGACGCGACGCAGATGAGGCGCCGCCACTGACGAGCCGCAGGGCACGAAGCTCCGTCCGCGTCGTAATTTCAACTCAATAATTTCGTAACCCGCGTGCGCGTGCACCTAAATAATGTTAATGTCTGCGCAGACCGCTCAAATCCGCTACGAGGATGATGACCAGGCATCGGTCGAAGCCACGCCGGCGGCAGCAACTTCGTAAGGCCACTATAGGTGCATCAGGTTGTTCGAGTAATGACACATAACCTGCCGCATAGGCCCGACACTGCGCTGTAGCACCGCGACGTCAGGCACTTCGCAGACACGGCGGCGGCGCGTACTGAGGGGCCGGCATCCGCAGACTGTGCTGGTGGGACATCACAGCGGTGCCGGCCTGGCCAGCGCTTCCTACACATTCTCACGCCACCAACCGCAACGATTGCACATGCGGTTGGACGTATCCTGACTCAACACCTAATCATGAGCGACGACGCGCAAAATTGCTAGCCATAGATGTCGCGGCCTTGGTGGGCCACGACTTTGCCCGATGGGAAGACTCTGAGGTCTCCAGAGCGCGAAGACATCCATGCCCGGCGATTGGGACAGCGCACTGGGAATGCCCTTCTCGAATTGCGCGACCAAGGACGTAGCAGCGTAGGTCTGCATCTTGCGACGGGGAAGGCTTTGAGACGTAGGTATGTGAGCGTGGCGCGAGGGGCGAGCCGGTGCAGCGGGGCATTGATTCGCTACTCTGTTCACCCGGCCTGGCAGCGGGCGAGGAAGGCAGCGGCCCGCGTCGGGCTGCCTCCCCAGGGCCATCGCTGCGGCAATATAAGCCAGGTTGAGCCCGTCCATCTCGTCGTCCTGCCCCCATCGCTATGCACCACCCAGGTGAGCGGTTCTTGGAGGCCTCCACTGCGCGGCTGCATGAATCGGTCGCAGCGAAACGTGGATCCGACCTTGGAACCCGGATGCTGTGGCTGATCTGCACCCGCCAGGCGAGATCCATGAACGTTCGGCACGAGCATGGCTGACCCTTAGTCCACAGAGCTCCGGGACAGGGATACGTTTCATAAGGTGATGGGGAGGCTTTCGCTGGTCATGTAGCATGCGCCCTGGCTAACGGATGCCATAGACGCGCTCGGGTGCGGCGTTTTCGCCGTGGTTCGAATTCGCGGGTGCCCCCCTACGCGCCCCTTTGGATTTCGATATCGCGTCCCGCGTGAGAGCTGCAATGGAGGAGGCGGACAGGAAGCACGAGGGGGGCACCGGGTACGAATCCGATGAGGAGGAGATACCGCTATCGGCCCCGGTAGCGACGGGCGAGCGTGATCGTGATCGCGACTGCACGGACCTCTCGATCACTCAGGACGAGGGCCAAACGCCACCCCACCAGCTCATCCATCACGGCCAAGCCTCATGTAGGGAGGTCCCGGGGCCTAACCCTCCGTCCAAGGAGGCATTCCACGCCAAAATGCGCTCCAAGGCCCGCCGACGCAAGGCCCGAGCGTTGAGTGAGCGCGCAGGGGAGCCGGGCGTGACCAAGCGCTGCGTCAAGGGGGCAGCCCTGCGGAGGCGCACGGCTGCGGAGGTGCTCATCGCCCAGGTGGCTCTGGGTTCTGATCCCGGGCCGTCCGTTGGGTCAGATTTTGCGGCTGGAATGAGCGTCGGATCTGAGCCAATTAGGACTGATTTGTCGATGGCCAAGGATGACGTGCCCATCACCAAGGGCGCGTTCACAGCGAAGCGCGACGGTGTCCAGGTCGCAGATCGGCGGGAGCGCACCAAGGCAGAGATGATCGCAGAACGGTTTGAATACGTCTCTTGGAACGGCAGGCAAGTAGTGCTCCCCTGCGTAGCATGCAACGTTGGTGCTGATGACGAGGAGCAGAGAGCCAAGGCCCATCCTGGACAGGAATGGGCGCGTCGTCGGGGTATTGGTAGGCCAACCGCGCGACGACAAGTGGGTGGAGGTCAACGCAGCCCTCGAATCGACCTTTGAGATTGCGCGTGACGCGTTTCAACGCCCCGCGAGCAAGCGCAAGCCACGTCGCGGCGCATACGCCGCCGCGACATGCGGCATCTCGTACGGCGGAGGCCAGACGGTACGACCGATCCACACGTGTCGGCCGCCAAACCGATTTCGCTGATCCCGGGCCAGCATGTCAGAAATATGAGCCTCAGTGCGCACAATCAAACCGTGCTTGACGCACTCCTGCGTCACCAGGCCGTTCGTCGGGTTGCGAATTTCGGTGACGGTTGGTACCTCCTTGCCGGTATGCCGAATACAGGGCTGATCAATACCTCAGCCGCCTTTCAGCTGTTCGCCCCACGCCTACACGACTACTACGACCGCACCCTGACTGGGCTATGCACAAGGGATCCATCGCTGCGACGCAACTTCGAGAGGAACGTGTTCGCTAACGCTACGTTTAACCTCGGACCACGAACCGTCGCGTACAAGCACCGGGACAACTTGAACCTGCCTTGGGGATGGTGCGCAATCACCGCGATTGGGTCATTCAATCCACACGAGGGTGGGCACCTCGTGCTGTGGGAGTTGCGCATGGTGATCGAATTCCCCCCGGGAGCCACCGTACTAATCCCGTCCGCGATCATCACTCACGGAAACACCAGCGTCGCCGACACCAACGACGATATTCGTTTACTCAATATTCGGCAGGGGGTATTTTCCGCTGGGTGGACTGCGGGTACCAGGCCGTCAAGGCGCTTCCCAAAATGCGGGGATCGGAGGCGGAACGTAGGGGTGCTGAGCGCTGGAAAGATGGGGTCGAGATGATGAGCATGTGGAGCGAGTTTGCGCCCAAGGATATCGTATAGTGGGAGGCGCAGTCACGCGCGTCGCCCGCGCGAATATACAACTACTCGGCTTGCATGGGAATAACGGCCAGGCACACCGAGGGAGACTAGCGCATGCCGCGTGAAGCAGACGGCCACGCGAAATCTCACCGGGGCTACGGGCAGAGGCCGGAAGTGGCGACGGACCGACCACGGAGATCCGTGAGCGGGGATACATATACCCCACCAGTTGGTGCGCCGGCCGCGGTTGTGTCGTTTACGCCCCGCGACGACGCTGTGACGCTGTACGCGCCGAGTATCCCCTGCTAGCGCGGCGTTGACCCATCCTTGCTTGGCGACTCACTCGCTCTCTGGCCAGCGCTGCGACGGCAAGACTACCTCCCCGTCCTGATCCCTACTGTCAACTCTCCTGCCAAATGGCCAATGCGACCAACAACCCGTCAGGGACCTAGTGGAGGATGCCTGAG